GGTGGAGTGCCTGCGGTAGAAATCCCACCCGGGGGAGCTGTACTCTCAGCAAGCTAGAGCTCTAGGAGCTGGGACTGAATCATGGCCCTAAATTATTAGCTACGGGCTTCTTTGGCAGGGGGACGGCAGGCCATGCCATGCTTTAGCTAAGAGGGAAATGTGAGCTTCCAAAGTTTCCCCTTGGGTGAAAGGAAAAAGGTCAAGAGTCATATTTCTAGTTCTGGCCAAAAGAACTTAACTCCTACGTGATGGAGCTTATTCCTAGTTTGCAGACCTGAGAAGGTCAGAAAATGAGAAGATGGCAGTATTCTTCTAAGTATTCCAAACATTTGTAAAGGCAGACTGGTATAACCAACAAACCCTGTGTATCCACCCCGAGCTTCACCAATTACCAGCTTGTAGCCAGGAGGACTGAAATGTTTTGTGCTTTGAAGTATGAGGCCGTCCTCACTAGTTTTCATAAACTCATGATTTTGGTTTCTCTGATTGCCCCTTGAAGGATTTGAAGCAACTATTCTGAGGCTCTAGGGTGATTTTAGCTCCACCTCTTGGGCTGGCTGGTAGCAAGTAATCCATTTCTCATTATCAGGAGCATTATTGGGCTTGGTCTAGTGTGGACTCAGGGCAGCTCTGCAGAGAAGGAAGCAATTGGAAATTACCACCTCCTTTTTCTGAACAGTTCCCTGAAGGCACAGATTTCCTAGCCCCTTCTGCCATACTCTGCATATACTTCCTCATTAAAGGAAATGAAGGTGACAGAAGGACTAGGCTTGTTACTATCGCAGCACAGAGGGTGCAGGCTGAAAAGGGGTGGACACATCTCCCTGAAATTGCTCCAGGATTTTACTAGGGCTTAGGGGCAGGTATCAGGCACATGGTAATAAAATATTAGAGGAAGAGTTCAAGGCCTTAAGAAATAAGGAGGGATGAGGTGAAAGGATCGCAGGACAAGTGATCACAGCAATAGGAACAAACACAACAAATGGAGCCGAGCTGGCGGTGACCCCTGGGCTGCAGGCCCACAGGCTGCACCCAAAACACGGAGCTCCTGCGGCTCAGCCCTGCCTTTCAGGCCAACAGTGAGCTTAAGGAAGAGCTCAGATACCACAGGAAGAGGGACAGAGGGCTTAAGTCATGGATTTTTCCTGTCCTAGGCGGTTTCTCAGATTGGCACTCTGGTTTTAGAGGGTTACTGGACCCTTCCCTTTAAAGATCTTTCTTAAGGAGATTAAAGCAGCCATTCACTTGCATCGCTGTTCCCTTCCTCCTCGGTCTCCTATCAATACCTTCCCCTTTGACATTCCAACTTTGGCCAAACCAGTTGTAAAAGACAGGATCTGCACGTCTGGTTGGCTCTTAGGATCAGACACACAACCCTTGCAAAGACATCTTCCAATCAGGTTTGCATTTAATACCTGCTGCCAGTTTCCCATCCCGCAGTAGTCTAGTCAGAGAGTAAAATGCCTCCACAAAGTTCCTGTCTGATCTTTCTGAATCAGTCTGAATTCCAGCATGAGAGCCGTGTGAAACGTAATTCAGCAACAGTCTTAGAGGCCAGCTCAGGGACCCACGGAGCACCAGAAATAATCACCAAGCCCAGTATTTCCAAAAGCAGGTCCCTACCTTCAACGACACAAAATGTTGCAGGAAATAGGACTTTCGTCATTTATAGACTAAACGAACATTCATGCCTTTGATTATACCTGAGTAACTCTGAAGATCCAATGTGTGAGGTCTTGACATTTTACTGAAGCTCAAATGTAGGCCCAGTGCCGCAATGTTCAGGTCATTAGCTAGTAGGCTCGGCCACTCCCCAGCCTCCACATCTCAGCATGGTGTAATAGTCTCTGTTCCTACAAGCACAATAACTTGTAATAAGATACGGCATTCTGGGGGGTGGGACAAGGAGCAAAAGGATACGGGGGAAGAACCCAGGGGCAGTGCTTGTGATGCAAGGCAAACTGTATGGAAAGTATTTCTTAGAAAAAGAAGGGGATCTTAAGAATAGAATTTAACCATAATTCAGATCCATGATGTGAGGAAAAGGAACTAATCCACAGTGTACTCCCCATAGAAAAAGCACTAGACGAGCAGGACTTTGTTGCAGAAATAGTCCCAGTTTCCCAGGTGAACCCCTCTGCAGGAGGCTCCGGTGAACAGAAGTCGCTCAAGTGAAAGTTGGAGGGGTGCTTAAGACACAGTGTGGAGATACAGAGAACACAAGATTCAGCGGAAATGTGATCTGGGAAGAAGGTGGAGAGGCTGAAACGAGAGGACAAGGTGGGGATTTCTGAAAGTCTCAGGACAAATCCTTGCATATATCTAAGATGCAAAAATGAAAATTTAAAGACCAGGAGACACAGGCTTACTAGCCAGGTTGAATGCTCAACCTCTGAGGGCATTCTACATGGCGGCACATGATGGGCTCGACTGGTTTAAAGTGATTCTTTTTACAAAGTGTCTAGGCTTTATGTGTATAAGTACTGGATTCACTGTTGAGAAATCCTAGCTGAGTCCTCTAAATTAGCCAGAACCTCACATCTACTCAAATAAAAACACTACTGTAGAAATTTAACTGGGACCACAAACTGCAGGGTGCTGAGGCTGTTCTGGGCAATACACAGGGAAGTCCAGATCAATACACTGATCCTTGCTAGGTGAAACCAAGCTGTTGTCTTTCACTGCCTCCTACCACATTCTTTGGAAGGTGAAAAGTAGCACATAAACCTCCTAAGCTGACACTTCAATCACTTGCTGGGTCTTAAAATTTTGAGGAAAATGACTAGTTTCTAGTTATCTTGAGATAACAGATAATGGTTAGCAAAGGAGACATTTTAAAAACCAGGGACTGACCAAAGGGTACAGAATCTGGGGACTTCGGGATAGTGATGATTATTCACACTGAGAACACTTCTTGTAGAATGCCAATTAGGTTTCAAGTAGAGGAGTAGGTGTTGGTGCTATTAAGAAAATAAATATGGCCCTTACCTTCTAGGAGCTCATGGAGGCAGATAGGGGATAGTAGATCATAGTAATTAAATAAAATGTGTCTTATAGTCTTCAAGGAAATTCTAGAAGGAGATCCAAAATTATTTTGATCCATTGCAATATTATTGGAATAAGAACATATGCAATATCAAACATTTCTATTCTATTCTCATTTTCAAAAGGTTTGAATCTATTTTTTCTTCCAGATTTGTAAGTAGAGAAATAACTGTGGTTGATTAAAAAAATACCCAAAACAACACTCTTTGCCTTAAGAAAATTGACATCTAGTTAGATTCCCTTCCTTTCCTTTCCAGATGCATTACTTGGCCCACTGTGAGATTTCAGTGTGGTGGAAATGGAGGTCGTGGTGGAGGAGGTGGAGGAGGAGAAGGGAGAGGACAAGGGGGAAGGCGTGAGAAGCAAAACCTCTAGAGCCCGCAGCAAGGGTAGCGTCTTAAGGCAGGCTGCATAGAGGCAAACACGGCTATTTCCCCACTCCCTGGGGAGGGTCAGCGCCCCGACCGTGTCCGAGTTTCAGCTATTAAAAAGTCAAAAAACTTTCAGCTGGAAGTCTTAATCTGACAAAGTAGCTCTCAAAATGTGGTCTGAGGGGCGCCTGGCTGGCTCAGTCTGTAGAGCATGTAACTCTTGCTCTTGAGGTCAAGAGTTCAAGCCCCAGGTTGGGTGTAGAGCTTACATTAAGAAAACAAGTAGTCTGAGGTTCTCAGCAGTTCTTGAGACCCTTTCAGGTCTCCACGGGGTCAAAGCTATTTTCGCGACAATACTAAGGAGGCATCTGCTTTTCACACTGTCCTGCTGTCACGGGTAGGCGCGGTGCAGGATGTGCCAGACTCCAGGACATGATACTGTGACGACCTGAGTGCAGGAGCAGATCTAAGAATCTTGCTATATTCTATCAAGCCACACATGAAAGGGATTTGCAAAAATGTAGAATGATGTCATTCTTTCTGAAATGTTCTTGTTTTGGGAGGTGTTTTTATAAAAATATTATTTATACTAATAGGAAATGTGTTTGTTATTTTTAAAGACATTACCTAAATTTTTAAGAGAATCCTGTTTTAATTTCTCATCCGGTCAACATCAGTGGATATAATCCACATAAACCAAAACCCTCTCAAGCCTCCCTTGAGCGTGAAGGGGTCCCGAGCGGGGAAGAGCCGGGAGGGGCCGCCCCGGCGCCGCCCTCCGCGCGGGACGCGCTCACCGCCGAGGCTCCGTCAACTTCCGTGACTGCGCACACACACTTTTTTTCTGGAGTATCAGATGCCAGATTTACCATCAAGACAGCAAAGCCAAAGTAACCACACTCCTTCTCCCTCTCCTTTCCCCTTGTTAATTCCATGAAGAATTTCATTTCACCATCTGGAAGACAGGCTCAGCGTACCAGAGTCAGGACTGCACATGCTTCCGCTACCTACCGACACTCTTGAAGGGGCTTCGAGGAACGGATCACAGCGGCGGCGCATCCTTCCTGCTGGGAGGAGACCACCGCAACGTGACTCACACGATGAGACCTGCGCTTCCTTTCTAAAAAGGTGAAACCTGCACGTCACTGCCTTTGACACTCCAACCAGAGCAACCGGAAGCTTTTCACCAGTAATCATCAATGACTAGGAAAAAAATGCTAAACCTACCTTTGAAACCTCTGGGTTCAGGTAGCCTAAACGATGACAGTTTGTTCCAGGATTTACATACCACCATACCTGACGGAAGCTATTTTAGGTTGAAACTGTTAAGACTGATGCTTGGGCAGAAACACTCATTTTATAATGATCTGCACAAACCTGAAGAAGCCCAAGACAGTTTGTGAGGTGGAGTTTCTGCGTTCTAACACGTGGTATAACAGTCACTTCTTCAAGATCATCTTCGAGGTGGCAACTAAGACTTTGGGCAGACTTGTGGACTCCGGTAACACTCAGCAACACTGCTCCCGAAGCCAGAGAAGCCTTCTGCTTTAGCTGTCATTATGGGGACAAAATTCACAAGCCAGCTCAGACCGTCACAGAAAGCGTTTATTTACCACAGAAGAAACCAGGAGACGCCGGAGCCCATGCCCGGCAGCCTGGGCGGTGTGAGTCATCAGGGACAGGGGACAGCAGGCGGGAACCCCAGGAATCATGTTCGGGCAGTCTCCGACCGGCAGGTCTGCTCGGGCCGGGGGATGCTCTGGCTGGGCTCACGTGTATAGCTCAGGGAGGTCAGCTTTGACAAGCAGGCTTCGTCCCGGACAAAGCCAAGGACAGCCAGAACCAAGGGCAACAGCTGCAGACACCACCTTAAAATGGGAATCAAATTAGGCTTATGACATCAGAAGTGCATTTCACCCTGATCGGAAAACAAGAGGGAAAAGGGAACACTGGGCCCCAGTGGATAGCCTGTCTTCGAGATAAAATGCTTTTAATTTAGTTAAATATTGGCAGGGCCTTCCCCCTTGTTAATAGCAAGCAGCACACAATCTCCAAGCCAGCTTTACAAGCTACTGTTAACTTTGTTATCTGTTATTATTTGGATTTTGAACAAAATTGATGGAGTAGGAACCAGTAGAGGAATCCTGTTTGATCTGGAAATTTTCGGTGGAGAGTCCAAAAGGTCGAAGAACCAAGTTCCCAAGATCTTTTAGTTTACCTGCAATGTAAAAGGGAAAATTCAGATAAATATGGGGAATAAACAGAAGCAGGAAGACCCAACCGATCCTGCCTTATTATCTGACTAGAAAACATAAAGAGCATCTCTCTGCAGTTAAAGAAACTCCTGCTTTTAAAACTGTGAAACCTTTAGTCCCCTCGGCAATGTGGTCACTTCAGGGCTACCCATCCCCACGCCTGTGCTTTTGGAGACGACTGTGAGGGAGCCCTGCTGGTGCCCTCTGGGAAAGCAAAGCTTCCTGTCCAGACTGGCCAGAGCCAACCAAGGACACAAGCCCTGGGATGAGTGATGGCCGGACTGCTGCTCCCGGGGGGTGAAAGTACCCTGCCAGGCCCCAGGGCCTGACGCCGAGGGCAGGGGACCCTCTGAGTCTGTTCTTGGTGGAAAGCTGCAGCCTCCTGCTGAATCTGATCCCACTCGACAGACTGCTACCAAGCCTGGGTTCAGACTCAAGGAAAGCCTGAGCTTCTACACCAAAATCATCATTTCTCGGGAGACGGGGGACTCTTGTTCATTTGACAGCACTGCCCACCACAACAGTCCAGTCTCTTCTCCCTAGGATCCAGGCTTTACGCATTAATCACAGGTGAGTTCATGTCCATTAGCCAAAACTGAGACACATGGTATAACCAAGGATTTTTTTTTTTTTTTTAAAGATTTTATTTATTTATTTGAGAGAGAGAGAATGAGAAAGAGAGCACATGAGAGGGGGGAGGGTCCGAGGGAGAAGCAGACTCCCTGCCGAGCAGGGAGCCCGATGCGGGACTCGATCCCGGGACTCCAGGATCATGACCTGAGCCGAAGGCAGTCGCCTAACCAACTGAGCCACCCAGGCGCCCATAACCAAGGATTTTTATGCCGATTCTACACATATGAGTGCCACAGAGTTTGTATGTCTCAAGCTGGAGTTTTCAGGACTTCTGAGAGATTTACAGGGGCAAAGGGCTAGAATATTTGAAACTAAGAGTGTTTTGGAAAATGTTGGCTGGGATAGGTGAATACAGTTTTGACCCTCTCTGAACTGTTTTCTTGCAGGTCTGTTTCCAATGGAGAGGAGAATGGGGGTCAAAGGGAAAGAAATCCCTAATCGTCGGAGCTACAGGTTCCTTCCCGCCCTCCCACGTGTAGCAGCTTTATTCCTCTGAGGCCTCCCACCTTGAAGAAAAGCCCAGGTAAAGAACTTATAGACACATAACCTTGACATGTCAAGGCATTTTCTCATAATTCATGGAAAGAACTTTTGGTCTCAGTCTAAGATTTAGCTCCCAGAAGCTCACCATATTCTGAGGAAGCTCCCAGAACCCAGGCTGACCATTCTGCAGGCAGGCTTCCCAACCCTAAGCTGAACACAGGTGCCGGGCGCAGTCCATCCCTGCACACGGGTGGCGGCCGCCCAGGGAGGGGCCACACCAAGCACAGAGAGGAGCGGCGTCCTCGGGCAAGCGGGAGTGCCCCAGAGCCCTGGCAGTCTATCCTGGGGGTGACGAAGGAGGGCGGGAAGCCGAATAAAATGTCACTGATGGCACAAGCCTTGGCTCTTCGGAGTGAGCCAAGTGAGACTGCATCTCAAGCGGTCTTCACCTTGCGCTGCCGGAGGGAGCAGCGCCGCCCGCATGAGCCTCTGTTCGAGGGGCCTCTGTTCGAGGGGCCGCTGGGAGTGGCGGCCGAGGCCGGGGTGCCCCGTGCACGGAGGCGGCCCCTACTCTGCGGCACAGTGGGAGCTACCAAGTAAAGCTGGCTCTTGGCCTTTGCGACACGCTCAGTCCAGCGGCCGAGGGAGGCGTCCCAGGACAGCCTGCACGTCGCAGCGCTCGAGGGACCGGGGCTGACGGGGCGCGGCAGGGGCACAGACGGAGAGGGACAGGGAGGGCCTTTGGCAGCTTTTCCCTCTGCCTGACTGGCTGCAGACCCTGCCCGCCACTCTTCGCTGCACTGACTCTGTGGATGGCACTCAGGAAAACGTGCTTCTCTCACTGCGGGTGGCGCGTCCCCGTCCGTGACCCAGCTCGGGAGGGGCAGACCAGGTACTGTGACAGCCAACTGTGGCTCCTCAGTGGCTTTGCTGGAACTTTCTTAGCACTGCGGTGCTGTGTGAGACTTCCGTCTCTCCTCCACAGGCAGCTGACGGCTCTCTGCCCCAGGCCCCCCTGCAGGTGCTTCCCCAGTCAGTCTCTTGTACTTCGAATCCCATCCTGGCTTCGGTTTCCCTGACGACCCAACCTACACACGAGGCTATGGGTCTTTGTCCTTCCGTTCTCAGCCTTTTTACCATTCCACAATAGTTTCACTCTCTTATCTCCAGAACAGAACAGAACAGAACACAGGAAGTTCTGCTTGCTCAATGACACAACGGACCGAAGTGCCCGAGACACCTACTAAAGACACACAGTGAAAAAGTCTCTGCGCCAGGGAAGACCTGAGGTTACCAACGGTCCTAAGTTCTCGTGTGTGGCATCTTGCTGTGTGTGGCGGGGACGCAGGGACCGGAGACGGCCACCGCCCCAGAAGAAGCTGCGATGCAATGGGGAAGACCAGCCCTACACACGGAAGCCGGAGGTGCAGAGGTAAGCGGAGACACAGTGTGCCAGAAGAGGTCGTAGGAGGACTCCGTGCCCGGGGGCAGGGAGGACGGGAGAGCCGGCAGAGCTTCTCGGGGAAGCGTGTGCACTGGGATCACCAGGCAAGGACAGACAGGACTGCAGCCACCTGAGGCAGAGGGAGTGAGCATGCAGGCAGACATGGTGTGAATAAATGCGTAAGAAGGGCAGGCAAGGGCAGGCAGTATGTTCAGTGGGCTCAAAGGCAGGTGGAAGGGCACGTCCCGGTGGGTTCTTATGAGCCAGGCCAGAGGTCTGTGGTTCCTGTGCCACAGGGAAGAATCAATCAGAAGAGGAGACCCTGGAGTGAGTGCAACGTCATGGGAAAGAAGCCATTTATTCTCCGAACAAACATCTGAACGTCTAATGCTGGGTAGAGCAGCTCTGAGGGGCGCCTGGCTGGCTCAGTCGGCAGAGCACGCCACTGGATCTCAGGGTTCTCAGTCCGAGCCCCATGTTGGGTGTAGAGATTACTTAAAAATGAAATCTTAAGGGACGCCCGGATGGCTCAGTCAGTCGGTTAAGCATCCGACTCTTGATTTCGGCTCAGGTCATGATCTCAGGGTCATGAGACTGAGCCCCACGTCAGGCTCCGCCCTCGGTGTGGAGCCTGCTTAAGATTCTCTCTGTCCCTCTCCCTCCGCCCCTCTCCACCTCCTAAAAAAAGTACTACTAATAAAAAAATAAGACCTTAAAAAAAAAAAAAGCTCTGAAATCAGACTAAGGCCAGTGAGAACATAAGGGAACAGAGCAAAACATTACGGTATAACCAACAAATTTTTGGTTTCTGAAAACTCATCTTTTGTTATGGTAACAGCAGAGAAGCATCTTCAGTAGAGGTCATGCTCATAAATACGTACACAATCACACTGAGTTTTCCTGCTGCTGTTTAGAGTCGGGTTGGACACGCACAGACTAATGCAGCCTCCTGGTCCCTAAGACAGAATCATTTGCCAAATTAGCCTATCTGCCACCTTTTCCACTGGCTGCCAAATTCTACACCTTCCCTATCTGGGCAGCACTCAGTTAGGTTGCCTTATTTCCACTTGCAGCAGATCCGGCACCATCGCTCAGCCGGAATGTGTCAGCATGTCCCTAACTTAGGATCTCCTCTGTTAGCCTAGACTGCAGGCAAAGAGAAGAGTCCAAAACTGCTTGTGCTCAGACAAGAATGTTTATTGGACGAGAGAACAACCCTTGTCACTGGATCCAGAACTGATAAATACTAGTTTCTATGCCTCCAAGCAACACTGTATCACAACAACCCAATGGACTCATTATGTGTAACTTCTCTTTGGAGCTACTAACTGTGTCCATTTACCCCGAGGGGAGCCAGGAATGCCATTTGTTTTCACGTCCTTAAGATCCCTGGGGTTTGGGCCCAGTGGGATGCAAGGGAATCCTGACACGGCATTCCCTCTTACGAGGCAGGCGCTAAGCCACAGAAGCGGCCTCTTGCTTTCCTCTGAGGAAAAGGCTTATCAAGAGACAGCACAGAATATGGAAGATAAAATTCACAGCCAAGGGGCGCCTGGGTGGCTCAGTTGTTAAGCGTCTGCCTTCGGCTCAGGCCATGATCCCAGGGTCCTGGGATCGAGCCCCACATCGGGCTCCCTGCTCCGCGGGAAGCCTGCTTCTCCCTCTCCCACTCCCCCTGCTTGTGTTCCCTCTCTCGCTGTGTCTCTCTCTGTCAAATAAATAAAACCTTTAAAAAAAAAAAAATTCACAGCCAAATCAAATGCCTATATGAGCTCTTGGGTGAGCGGAGGCTGAGCTAAGCCTTACCAAGAACTGTCAAAGAAGCGGGAGTGATTCTCCTGAGAGGAGCTGAAGGAGTGACAACCAGGAAAGGAGGCAGAGAGTAGGGCAGTGAGAATCTACACACTGATACTCCCTGAGGGAATAACTGCAGGAAGGAAGTGGTTCAGAGGCACTCATGTGGCCGGAGTACAAAACACTGCATGTATAATGAGTATTAGGCAGGGTCGTCGCATGAAGAGAAATATGAAAAACAAAAAAAAACAACCCTCGATTTCCAGGGTATCTACATGTATGGCTTCAGCAGTTTTAAGAGTCAGTGACAATGTCAGGACTTTCTTGTGACCCTGGGTAAGGGAGCTGATTCTAGAACCCTGTACTATGCAGAGCAGAGAAGCATGTAATGCACAGGGAGAGGCAAAAGAATATGTTCAATCTTTGCCAAGATAATGAATGAATTATTCCTAAGCTCCCTTCTATAGTTTTTGCTCATGGCATCAGACAAGATGGTTTTCTTAAATCAGTTCACAAATGTGTGCTCATGAGGTTGCTAGTGGTCAGGAATGAACACTGGAGAAACTTCAGGAATCAGGAGAGCAGAAATATGTTCCAAGAAGGTGTAAGGAGGTGATAGTATGAGGGGAAGACCTGGGCCGGATGGTGAACAAGGCCCAGGTGTGTGCTGGAGCAGCCGGGCAGGAAGCAGTGCAGGTGTCCGGGAGAGGAAAGGACTACTGGGCTATGCCCAGTCCCCCTGGTCTCTGGTTCCTTTTAGGGAGTCAGAGAGTTTCAAGGGGTGGCTCTAGGTTTTCCAGGTCAGGACAGGAACCTGGCAGCTCTTGGTTAAGGTAAGAAGAGCAGCATCTCATGGAACGGTTAGAACACAAGCTCCACCAGCTACTGGGATATAACCCCACCCGAGGACCTGGGTGGTAGCCCCTACCCACTTGGTAAATGGTGACAACCTACAGTGAGCTGACTCGATTTCTCCAGTGACAGCTTGTCCAAATAAACACCAGAAATGGAACATGGCAAGGAATGGCTGGCCATAGAGAGCGGTCTGAGATCTCAAGTCTAGTGCATTCTGAAATGTCTTTTTCTTTTTTCTCTGCTGCAGCTACAGCACAAGGACGGAAAGGCAAAACTCAGTGACATGCTGCTTCTGCTCAGGAGGAACTTCTCAGAGCAGAGTGGCTGACCACTCCTGGCTGCATCCCTGCAATGCACCCTCCATCCCCACTTCTAGGTCCTCTCTTGAGCTGCCCCCACACGGCCCCCACGCATCAGTCACACACCCACACAGCGCTGGATAAACGCGAGTGTGCACCAGAAACATCTAGAGGGGTTGTCGGAACTCAGAGCACTGTGCTCCACCCCGACCTCTGATTTAGTAGGATGGGCGTGGAGCCTGAAAACGTGCATTCTGAACGAGTTCTCATGTGAAGCTGGTCTGAGCAATGCATTCTGCGAACCAGCCCCAAAAGATAATTTGCTTTTGTAGCTGGCCAGTGGAATCTTGATCAGGAGCCTGATATTGAAAACTAATTGTGGACACCTGTCTCTAGTGATTGGCAGGACAGGCTGCCCCGGGCGGAGTGTCTCTCTTACATGATGTGAAAATAGCCCACGTTACTTTTTGGAGAAAGCAAACAACTTTATCTTCCACCTCACAGTTCAATTCAACAAGATGACAAGAGATCAAGGAAGAACTACAAACACACATGTACAGATTCTTAGCAATTCTACTTGTTTGAGATTTCATGGCTGGGCTAGGATATAGGACAACACAATTTACAAACGATGATGACAAAAGTCTTCATCCCATTCTTTTCTATTTGCAACCAAGGCTTATTCAGAGATCTATTAGTATCATCATCTGGCCTCTAAGTACACAGCCCTCGCGCTCACCTCAATGCCAGGATGAGGCTCACCTCATCGCGCACTGTGTATAGAATCTACCCCAGGAAGGCACTCGTCCGTCTCCCCTTTAAGGTTAAACAGCCATGCTGCCCAAGATGCTCCTGAATGCAGAGCAATACACTAAACATCTGCCCTCAGTGTCCTCCAGCTGAGCAGAGGAGCTTCAGGGATTCTGAAAATGTCTCATCAGTTTTACCTTTGAAACTGTTTTTACTGTTTACCTATGTGGACAAAAATTTAATGAAATCAAAACCAGAAATAAATTAGATACAGATACTCATAAGGCTGTGCCTACCATCTAAATCCGATTTCAAATTTTTATGTTCCTCAAACTTGCCTGGTTATTCTGATTACAATAAATGCTATATATTTGAACTGATACAAATAAAATACCACTCCTTGTTTTCTATGTTGTGATTTCATGTAAAAATTTTTTTTCTTGCCTTTTTTACTAGCTGTTCTAATTTGGTGTAATCACCTAAGATTTTTTTAAAAAGTTCTCTGGGGCGCTTGGGTGGCTCATTTGGTTAAGTGTCTGCTTTTAGCTTGGGTCATGATCCCGGGGCCCTGGGATCGAGCCCCGCCATCGGGCTCCCTGCTCAGTGGGGAGCCTGCTTCTCCCTCTCCTTCCTGCTCCTGCCCTCTCTTGCTATCTGTCTCTCTCTCTCTCCAATAAATAAATAAAATCTTAAAAAATAAAAAAATAAAAAGTTCTATTTAAAAAAAAAAGTGTAAAATCACTAGATTTGAGCAAAGCCAAATAAATAGGGCACTGGTCACTAACTAGTACTACCAGTCCCTTAAAAAAGCTCTCAGCCTCCTGGGTGCTCTGTCCAGCACCAATGACCATACCCTAAGTCCTTTTAAACCTTAAATTTCCTGGCTTATTATGGCCATGAGGCTAAGCTTCCCAGAGAAAAGGACAAAAGGAAACACCCCAGTTGCTGACCACTTTCCTCAAATCTGAAGCCAACATGCTTGTTCTCTGTGATTAGCAAGGACTGCAGCACTATGACTGATGGCCACTCTGGGTCTCCACGCTTGTTCTAATGATATTTCTAAATGATAGGCTAGAAAGGGAGGAGCAAGTATGTTTAGTATGTTCTACCCCCTTCATTATTCCAGTTGGGATTTTTTTTTCCCATGGAGGCAACTACAGGGCTCCTCTAACAAAAAGGAAGTCAACTTACTTGAAAAAGCAAGTCAAAGATTGTTGAACAAACCTAAATAAAAGCTCACCTTGTTAAATAATTACCTAACTTCGTAAATGCCAATGACAAATGGTGTTGAACAGTTTTTCAAATCTTTAACTGCTGGTATTTCAGTAGAAGCCAAGCATTTCCAGGGAAACCAGCACTAAAAATCGTGCAGTCCGCTGCAAAAAGCTTGCTCAGAACATTTAAGGGGTGGCATTGTTTTGCAGAGTGAGTAGCCTCCAAGGATCTCACAGCACATAAAGCACAGTTATGTCATCTGTAACAGGGAGGGAAGAACTCCAGAAAGCTTTTGTGGGGCTGAGATTCCATATAGAGAGTGGTTTCTCCCTTTTAGGCTCTCTGATGGTGGGGAACATCTAGAAGCAGTATCTTACTCGTGATCTTTATACTTAGGAAGAAGATAAAGGAGTCTAGCCATTCATACTGCTTCTGTGTAACAACAAACTGACATAATATTTACCAAACAACTTAAACTGTTTAAGTCTGATGAGAGGAGAATTCATTACAGAAGCAACTGAGAACGAATTCAACTTGAGTATTTCAAACGAAGAGGCCAATATAAGTAAAATCCAAAGCCCTGGAGACAGAAACTTCAGCTCATGAGAAGTTAGAGTGACTGAGGCAGCCAGGCAAGGAGAAATGAAGTTTTGATTCCATCTGGAATTGACAACGGCTGCAAGATTCAGTTTATATCCATCCCTTTAGGGTTTCATATTGGCTCAAAAAAATGGACCCAGAGCACAACGCCTAAGGGTCTTCTCCAAGTCCACCATGGCCAGCCCGACATCATCTCTTTCAGCATGAAATACAGCTCAGCTAAGTACACATACTATCTTTTTTCTAAAACAAAAGTCATTGTTAGAATAGGTGGAAAGTGCTCTTTTCCCTCTTCCTTGAAGAAAGAGCACCTCCAAAATAATTTTTCTGCTCAAACATAGTGTCAAATTTAAATATGTAAATCAGGGAAAGAGTGTCTTTTGGAAAAACTGGGGAAGGCTCCAGAAGTCTCCCCAACTCTAAAAACAGTTCTCAGCAGGGGCCAGAGGGTTGTGGACTGTTTACATTTTTTTTTTTAAAGATTTAAAGATTTTATTTCTTTGTTTGACAGAGAGAGACACAGCGACAGAGGGAACACAAGCAGGGGGAGTGGGAGAGAGAGAAGCAGGCTTCCCGCGGAGCAGGGAGCCCGATGCGGGGCTCGATCCCAGGACCCTGGAATCATGACCTGAGCCGAAGGCCGACGCTTAACGACTGAGCCACCCAGGAGCCCCATGGACGGCTTCTTCTCAGTCAGCTCTGCGAGCAGAGTGATCCTTTGGAAAATATGTTCAAATGGCCAAGCTCAATTTATTTTAAGATTTTTTCCTTTAGGCCCATGTGATTGCAATATATTAAATTCAGTTCATATGGTGGATTTAGAAAATACTCATTAAGGAAGAATACAAAACAGATCTTGAGGAGGGAAGTATCAGGTTATGAGCAGAATATACTGGGCAGGTGTCTGTCCAAGAACCTTTACTCCCCTTAGTCAAGCAGACTATTCATGGGGGGCTTCTCTGATTCCAACTATAACATGCTTTGGCAGGTACGAGAACTAAACCATTAGTCCATCCTCCCTGAGCTCCACTCAGTCTTCTGTTCCCTCACTATTTACTCCTAATTGCTGCCCTCTTGTGTCTTCTCAAACACTAATGGGACTCTCAAAGCCATTTTCAAAACAAACATTCCGTTGGTTCTGACACGGTTTTGACTTGCAGTAGCTGTATTCTAATGAAATTAAAAACTTAAGTTGTTTATTCAATGAAGAAACTCAACTGTTTTCATGTAATTCATGATCTGAAATAGAGGTTAGTGGGATCCCAGGTTGAATCATGTTTGCATTCTTGAAGGCAGGAAAATTTCTCAGGAAAAACAAAATAGAAGTTTAGTTTTTCAAAAGCTGACATCCTCTCTAAGCCACTCTAACCCTTCTGGAGTCAAAGACAGCTCAGACCTTGCTATGGCTCATACAACAAACGATGGGCCCCAAAGCTATTTCTAACTGTTGTGTTCTCCTCCAGCAAATCCCAAATCCTGCTGTCCCTCACCCCTGCCTCCTAGCTACTAGGGTCATGGGAAAGTAAGGGAAGCAAACTTACCTAACATCTCTGCCTTTAGCCTTTCATTACGTTCTTCAATCTGTTTAGGTAATCTCTGAGGGGAAAAGAGGAGAAACAAGGGCTGGTGAAAAATCTTTTGGCTTTATTTTGAATTTGAGAAACAAGCGTAACGTGAGTCAGATCGGATGATGTACATATATAAGATCCTATTAAATACAGAAAAAAACAAGTATTTGTGGGTGAGCTACACAAACAGGGGTTTTGTTTGGTTCACTGCTCTATTCCCAGTTCTTGGCACAGTGGCCCAGGGAGGACCTCAATAAAAATTTGGTAAATACATAGACAAAAAAATTTCTGAAAGAATACATTCCAGATGTTTACATTGGTATATTTAGGTGGTGGGATTATGGGTTATATATTTTTAATTTTTTGGCTGACTTGTATTTTTTAATTTGAGGTCCTTTCTTAGTATAATCTAAGTTGTTGAGAAGGGGTCAGATCAATATTGGATGTCCCTAAATGAATCACCTACTCAGGGTTTTTCAGTCTTGGCACTACTGATATTCTGGACTAGGTAATTCTTTGTTGTGAGGGCTGTCTTACGCACTGTAGGAGGTTTAGAGCATTCTTGGCCACTAGATGCCAAGAGTACCATTCCAGTCATGCCAATCAAAGTGTCTCCAGACACTGCCAAATGTCCCTGGAAACCAAATCATCCCACTTGAAAACCAATGATCTAGATTAGAGTCTTTATTGTATAGCTGCTTTTAGCTCTGTAATTGGCCCTAAGTACTCTGCAATTTTAGTAACAACCCAGTTATAATAATTCAAAATAAAACAAATTCGTTATGCATATAACAACTGACATAAAAGGCTCCCTTTTACAGAAGGTTTAGAACCAATGTGACAAGAATAAAGGCTACCAAGAGTTTGGCTAAGATTTTAAGAACTCTATTCCCCTTCCTTGTGTCAAATTTAAGTCAATCCTACCACCATTCAGAGATGTTAAAAGTCAGATAAAGGATTAAAACCAATTTCAAACTGCTGATGTCTTTTAATGATCCAAACCAGTCTATCTCCCATTATTCCCCTTCTGGATAAATAAAAGATCAGTTATTATTGAAGGAAGAGAGTACAAGCGGGAGGGGCAGAGACGGAGAGAGAATCTTTTTTTTCTTTTTAAGATTTTATTTATTTATTTAAGACAGAGAGAAAGAGAGAGAGAGACTGAGAGCAAGCATGAGCAGGGGGGAGGGGCAGAAGCAGGCTCCCCGCTGAGCACGGAGTCCGACATGGGGCTTGATCCCAGGACTCCAAGGTTAAGCAGCTGCTTAACCGATTGAGCCACCCAGGCCAGAGACAGAATCTTAAGCAGACTCTCTGAGGAACCCAACGCGGGGCCTGATCTCGAGACCCTGAGATCATGACCCCAACTGAAACCAAGAGTCGGATGCTCAACTAACTGCACCATCCAAGTGCCCCTGGAGTTATTTTTAAGGGGAAAAAAAAACAGTAACATTTAGCTAATTGACAACTGACACAAAAATATTATGTTTATTAGAACCAAGAGGATCTGTAGTGCCATGGACAAGAGTAAGAGTAATTTTAAGAAAGATAAGAAGGCTAATCTGGAATATATTTAATTGGAAGTATGCTGGCCATATGATAGTAAATAGAAACTTGGTGCCTGAAAAGGATGGGCAGAAAACCAGAAGTTTATTACCTCTAATATATTACTCAGACTCATTTTGGACTAAACTGTACAAGATTTCCATAGTCTAATAATGAAACTGAGTTCTCATTAATCCTACAGATTAAAGGTTTACACAGTTAACACTTAAAGAATGGTACATGGTCACAGAGGGTCTGTGACCACCACTTCAAAGTTAGATCTCGCATATATTTTGATAAGCCCTTAAAAATATACAAATGGAAGGTAGTCGGGTCCCAGAGGATTATCTAAGATTCAATGAGTAGCAACACAGGGAACAGAACAAAAAATATTTTTTAAAAATTAGGTTTACCATGCAAGCTTCTCTTGCTTGATGTACGGATGGATCTTTTTCTAAAATGGATTTATAGTCCTCCAGGGCTTCATCTAGCTTGTCCGTTTTCTCGTACAACTCCGCTCTCCTCAGTATTGCCCTGATATAGCAGGGGTTTAACTGAATTGCTGTAAAAAGAGAAGAAATCATTGTTACTATGAAGAAAAAGGGCCTGCCTGTGCCCAGCTGTATTGTGTTTCTTTATTAACCACCCACCAAGGGTCTAAAAGGAAGAGTCATTTGTCAAAGACTACACCTGGCACTGACACACTTTCTCCGTAAAGGGCAAGACAACACCTAATTTCCGCTTTGCAGGACAGACCATCTCTGTCACAACTATTCATCCCTGCTACTGTAGCACAAAAGAAACCACAGACCATGTAGAAGAAAATAAAGATGGCTGTCCTCCAAGAAACCTTTGTTTATGGACACTGAACTTTGAATTTCATAGAATTTTCCTATGTCACAAAATATTTTTTTTTTTTTT